AATAATGGATAAAATCCAGCTAATGTATACAATGGTTAATTAATTATTTCTTTTTGTTTACAATTATTTCAAGAGCGTGTTATCACCAGCTAAAGTAGAGACGAAAGATAACCAGGGTAAGGTGTTCGTGTTTGCATTTCGTAAGAAATTGATCAAATGAATATATTATATTTATTAGTATTTCACACGGAGGGCCATCACACCTCTATTAACAACATAATTGGTATGGTTGGTCATGGAACAAGTATTGAAGGCACATTGCCAAAAGAATACAACCTGGAACAGCTAATTTAGAACTTGGAACAAGAGAAAAAAAAAAAAACTCACTGACACTTCACTATACCAAGCACTACCTAACCTTGTAGGGTCAGTGGAAAACCTCCATTATCCTACTATTTCTTGGTTTTTGAAGTATGAATTTTTAAGTTTTTATTCTGAATCTTCTATAAGGACAATCATCATCAAATGTTGATGCTAGAAACCTGAAAATGGAATCAGATACCAAAGAGCAGACACAGGCACAATCGATGGAAGAGGTCCCTGAAACCATTGCTACTAAAGTCCAGGAGCGTATAAAAGAACTCAAGTTCACAAGAGGAAATGCGACGCAAGAATGGCAAAAATCTGGCAACGATTTCATTATGAGCATCTTGGACTTCGGAGGCCAGCCAATATATCATGTGATACAACGAGTAAAGTCATTATATTGAATAATAAATTGAATTGAAAAAAAAAAACTATTCTAGGTATTTTTTTCAGTTTTCGGTATTAAAAATTATTGATTGTGAATCATTTTCTTGTAGATTTTTATGGTATCTTTTGCCGTTGTTTGTGTGGTATTTAACCTGAAAGATGATCTTGACTCCCCCGCTAAAGTCAGGGATCCAACCACTGTAAGCATTATTTCTTATCAACATTTTATTCATTAGCAGGTTTTGCATGAATTTTATCAACTTTAAAAAATCAGGATTAAGTGGTCTTATACAGATGACTCACAGTACATTAATACATACGATAGTTTCTTAAAAATTTTTTACTGTATATATTTTTGTTTCATTTCAGGGTGATATATACGAACATCGAATGACAAACCTTGAGTTCATTCTGTACTGGATTCGTTCAGTATATACAAACAGTAGGGATTCAGAATTGGAAGATGGACAACCTTCACCACCAGTACTAGTGATTGGTACTCACCTAGGCAGCCTCGAGGGGAATGAAGAGGAACAGAAAAGAAAGGTAAACAACTACGTCATACATCAAGTCAACAATAAAACAGTATAAAGTACTGTAACATATATATATAAACTACAAACAAAATAGAAGGTATTAAGTTATACCGCATATAAATGTGTACAACGTTAAGTATATACTTGATACTTACTTGTAGTGGGAAAGGATTTGGCCTCAACGACCTTTATAACCCCACATCAATCTGGTTCTGCTTTAAAGCAGTTCGCCGATAGAGCCAGCACAACATCCATTCTTTGAAAAAAGAAATCTTTTCTATATATTATCATGAAGCATTTTTTTATAACGATTTATTGAAAATGTGACTACAATAACAAATTGATATTGTCACACAAATACAAAACAAATGAATTTTATAAGGGCTGATGATAAAGGCCAAGACATAAAGTGACAACATTTTTATTTTTTGGTTTTTTTTTCTAACATTTGAATTAAGCGGCTAACACTTCTGTGGTTGACGTTATACTCCATTCTGCCGGGCCACTGTCAACCATGACTGGCGCAAAACCTAAACGGCCATTTTGTAACCATAGAGATCTGTTTCAATTTTGGATGAAAATGTAATTTTTTTCTAATGTTTTTATAGAGTGTGCTGCATTCTTTAATGTGCACCTTAAAACACATGGCCAACTGCATAACGCTTCCATTGTGTGCTCTAATAATAACAGGATTTGCCCAACGGGGGGGGGGGTCGATGTCCCCCACGAGAACAAATTGGGTGTGTCGCTCAGCTTCTTTGTGAACTGGTTCAGAGACGGATACCCCCAAAAATATGACAATTCAGGGGTTTTAAAGGTTTATTTAATCGATTTAATATGTGGAAAATATATAATCTTTTTTTCTCCCAGATGAATTGTGGTTTTTCTCCCGTCAGCCTAGTCCCTCTCCCTCCTCCCCCTCGGAGCGCCGCCACTGCATCATAGCTGGCCCTCCGATGATCCATTTTAAACACAGAATGTATAGGAAGGGAATCGAACCAGGGGCCAAGTAAGCTGAAAGTATTGTCGCGTGCATAAAGTGCACGCGAATAGACTACCGGTACTTCTAATTATTTGCTCATCTCTTTCTCGATGGGTTGTGGCATACGATATCCTCGGAGTCGGGGGGAAATCTTGCTTACTTATAAGATTGGTAAAGGATGTGTTTTAGGCCCAAATTTAGGATTGTCACCGGTACATCATCCTAATCAACCTCATCATCATCAAAATCATTGCCGTCGCTGTCATCATTATCATCATCATCATCTGTTCATCATCATCGTCACAGTCAAAATTAATCGATCAATTGCTTGACTGAGTGACTGATTGATAGTGTATTTGTTGAGCGATGAACCGATTGACTGATTATTCGATCAATTCAACGATTTACTAATTAAAATAATTGTTTGATTAGTTTATATACAAAATTTTTAAATCACTGGACTTTCCTGGAATTATTACTTATTTGTTTCGGGTGTTTCATACACTACAAAAATTTAAATCTAAAAATCAAACATTATTTTAATTGGATGGCGTTTTTAGTGATGGTCGATACTTAACTAAGGTGATCACTTAAACACACACATAGCTATTGTCATTTAATTGTTTGTTTTTACGTTGCTTTCGTTGCTGCTCTTTTGTGGTTGATGCTAATTTTTTTCATATTTATGTCTGATGATTAATATTTTTGTTTAACTTCAGGCTGAAGAAATATTCAATAGAATTAGGAAAGCATTGGAAGGGAAACCTTATGAAAGCATGGTGTCAAGTTTCTTTGCTATTGAGAACAGCTTACCTTTCGCCAGGAGCAATGCTTCTAACATCATGGACCAAATATTAAAATTCGCAAAGATGATGGTTAGAAAACTACCTTTGAAATGGTTGCTTGTTCAACAGGAAATCCAAAAGTTGAAAGAGAAGCATATCTACTTACCAACCAAAGAGGTTAGACATTTAATAATTTAAAGAAAGAGCAGGATGGCGCAACATTAGCGGTTCTGCTTCCCAACCTTGAAGTTGGCGGTTCAATCCCTCACTGTGCATTACGCTTCCGTCTAGACAAGGCACTTCACCGATGTTTGTCTCTATCCACCCAGAGTATAAGTGGGTACCTGGTAGGCTCAAACACAAAATTCGCAGATTACACCTGTAACATTATGGAATTCTCCCCAGGCATGTGTACCATATGTGCTTGATGCAATGACGCGGTGGGCGGGGGAGGGGGGTAAAAATGTGAAGCGCTAATTTAGAGGCCTTATAAGCGCTATGTAAGTCTAATTATTATTAGCTTGTGATTATTCTTTTTCATTTCATGAAAACATTAAACTTTATAAGAACAGAAACAGCAATAAACAAGTATAAAGGAACAGACAGTAACAGCCCAAAATTGAACTTAATAACTGTCAGGCATTATTTTCAAGTAAAAACATGATTTAATAAATTTGTCACTGATTTGCGAATATACCACCTTTGTCAGTGAATGTTTTGGTATCAATTTCTAACCATTAAACTTTGTTTTTTTTCTTTATCAGGTGATCGCTTTAGTTGAGCGGTATGGGGTCAAACAAGATGCTCAAAGGGTACTGCTTGAGTATCTACACGACCTTGGCGAGATTCTCTACTTTCCTGATGACGAAGCCTTAAGGGATATTGTTGTTTTAGATCTGATGCAATTAGTTGACATGTTTAAAACAATAATCACCGTTATTGACCCTAAGCTTATGGTGAGCTAACATATCATATTATATCATATAATAATCTTAGAACCATGGTTTTCACCCTGGGGTCTACGAAACCTCTAGGGGTCGGCAAGCATAGCAAATGGAAACAAATTGGAACCATATTATTTTCATGTAAGGGAGGTTCATCCTGCTGGCACTGCCTTTAGTTAGGATCGGAAACATTGATGAATTTGACCATGTGGGGAAGGGGTGGGGGTGCCAGTGAACGAAAAAGGCTAAGAATTTAAGTCTTAGAAAATAGCGGGATTATCTAGTTTCTAGTGTCTTTGTGTAATGAAAATGTGGCATATAAAGGCCTAAGTTAAATGATGTAATTTCAGAAGCGAAGGTATAGAGAGGCCTGGTGGAAATTGGACTTAGGGATCCTGGAGGAGCATCTGTTAAGACATCTGTGGAAGAAGTTCGGATTTTCAGATGAGACGTTTGACTTCTTTGTATCTCTCATGCAGAAGTTTGGACTGGTGTGTGAGAAAAACATTACAAAGGTAATTTTAAATATTACTGGTCTACCTCCAATTACAGATCATTTTTCTGTGGAAAAAATTTGACAATTTATGTCTTATCTTTATTATTTTAATTAAAGACCAGAGCTGGAAACTCCGGTTCCGAAAGTGGTTTTTAATTAGAGGAAGACCTGTTTTCTTTTTTATATAGTGGTCTGTTTCATAACACCAATCTTAAACAAACAAATAAACCAATAAAAAAATTACAATTACGGTATCATACCATGAGCCATGAACTTGTTTGAAATGTTCTCTCTTCTTTTTTTGTTTTTGTTTTTTTGTTTTTGCACTATGTAGAATTCTTATTGTTTTCCAGAGTGGTTTTCGTGGCCGTTTACAAGTGATTCTACGTAAACGTCAACGTATTTTCTACGTTCTTTCACGTTTAAAACCTGAACGTATTGATAGGCCCACTAAGGATGATGGGATGCATGCAGTTTCAATCTTTCATGACTTCGGTCGGTATCTCCCTGACGATCTTTTCCAGCGAGGAGTAACTAAGTTCATAGAGAAATTCCAAGTAAAAGGCGATAAACCTAAACTGTCTTATGAGCATGTGCAGTTGAATATCGATCAATTTCACAAAGTGGTTATGAGTGTAGCAACAGTCAGGAATCGTCGTATGTTTAAGGTAAGTAGGACCTATTATGATATATTTAAAATTTCTTTTAATATTATTTTCATTACTTATGAATAGAAAGTTTATACACAATGGTAAAAATAGTCTAATTTTGCAAACACAATACACATAAGACTACACATTTCATACAAATGCGGGAATATAATTAATAAAAAACCAAATCTGCTAACAACATTATATAAAGCTACTAACATAAACATCATCTTCACCGCAATCTTAAATCATTAAAAAAAATGTATAGGCCTAAATATAAGTACTGTATATAAATATAATACTGTTTTGCAGTATGAAATATAAAGAACATACACACAGAAAAGAAACTACTAGGACTGCCAAGAATAAATGAGAATCAAAACCATATTTGTCTTCAAATGACGGCGGCTTAATGTTATGTTTTCTAGACAACGATCGCAATCTTGGAACCCAGTCAGGAAGATGAGCCCTCACCGACAGTGTGTAAAAAGGTACTACAACTTTCATTGATTTGAGAGACTTTCGAGAATTAATTTGAATGTTCTAATGTTTTTCTTAATGTACATTAATTATTTAACATAGATTTAACCTATATTTTTCATCTCCACCAGGTACTGAGTTTCCTCGAAAAGGAACTAAAGCTATTTTGTCTGAGTGGCGTACGAGGCATTGAATTAACGAGGTACATTGCTTGCGAATGCAGTTCAGACTCAAGTAGTGCCCACATGCAAATCGTGCGCACGTTTGACGAGGATGTGCTGCCATGTGGAAGCAATATATTGCCACGCTACCGTCGACTATTTGGAGATGACGAGCCACGATTGCAAGGTAAAGTACAGTTATGTTCATTGAAGTCTGCTTTGGTAAAATCTATTTTTATGTCCAAATATATATAGTCAGTGTCATTGAAGTTTTATTTTGGCTGTACTTCTGCTTCTCATTGTCATTTTTTGTTATTGTATATCCGGTTCCAGGGCTATCTGAGACAAGTTTACTTCTAAGCTAGTCCTCATCTAAGCCCTGTGCCTTATTTCCTGGCTGCAATAAATTTGAATTTTTTTTAGGATCATCTCTTCCACCCTCAGCTATGCATAAGCCCTGTCTCTTATACACATCTAGATGTGTATAAGAGACAGTCTCTAGATCGTCCACAGTCTCAGCAAGTAGTACATATACCAACAGGTATGTTTATGGATTTTTTTCAATTATGGATCACATACTTTATATCTGATGTAAGATGGTGCTGATTTATTTGAAAACAAACATTTTGTTGCAAGTAACCGGTTTTAAAAGTCATCTGTACTGCTGGATAATGGTTTAAAAGTTAATCTCATGCTATTATTTTTCCAAATCTCCAGTCACTTATTTCATTATTTATTCAGTTTTTTAAACAACATTATGCATAAACAGAAAGTGTAAAAAAGTACTGAAATTTGGGAAGACAAGGGATCAATTGCATTGGCATCTTTTTTTCTTTTTGTTTTTTGGTAAAAGTTTTAATTTTTTTTAATGGAGTGTCTAAAACTCATGTCAGATACAGTTGGGATAATTATGTTTTCTTTATAATAATTATCTTGCATGTTAGGCTTTGTGGATGACGCCACCATAGTGACAGTTTCTGACGAGTTAAGTCTCAGCTGGAGAAGGTTTGGTGTCCGTTTGGGACTTAAGTGGTCGAAAGTAAACAAGTTCATTGCTGATGGTACACAGACTCATAAGGCTGCCGAAAATATGATGAATTACTGGAGGGACAACATCAGTAGCGATACTCATCAATGTAAAGTGTTGTGCACTGCTCTGAAACAACATGAGCTCAGTCAACTAGCTGAAGATTTGTTAGAGTGTGAAATTAGCGAAGAGAATCTTGTCACTCAACAAGCAGGTAAGTATTTTAATGATTTTGGAAATACATAGCAAATTAACCTCACATTTTTTTTCTACAGCTTGTTTCTATTTTGTTACCAAAGTAACAAATAGTACACATTATTGTCAATGAAGTCATCAACTAAGTGTTTTTTACTCGTTGTATAATCTCTATAAGGAAAATGTTGTAATGATCAAGATTTGCTGTTCATCTGTGACAAACTGGATCCCGAATCATGGAGGAGACTGGGAGTGCGTCTTGGACTCAAGTGGACCGATATAAAAAAGATAGCAAAAAACAACAGACAGGTTGAAGACTGCATCATGCAATTGCTGGTTACTTGGAGGAATAACCAATCAAAGAGCCAACAAGTACCAACCATGGTGAACGCTTTGAGACAACAGAAGCTTGTTGGACTTGCACAACGTGTATGTGAAAAGCATGGTTACAGTGACGAGTCAGAAGTTGCACCAACTCAGATAAATCTGCCGCAAATTCCAACGCAAGGACAAGGTTAGTGAAAATCTGTTGCCGTTTTGCACTTGCTGAGAAACATTACATCCCTTGCAGCACGTTATGTGGTCCAGTGGCTCCGCCAGCGGGGGACATTTCCCCTTCCCCGTTTGGACAGGCCTAGACCCCTTGTTGTCCGACGAATGACTAGCCATCAAATAAAAAATAAAAAATATTAATTTTGCCTATCCAGATAACATTATAGTGCATTAAGTGTAGCCTGGATTCAAGGCCATAAATGTGAGTTACTCAATATCTATTGTGCAAGGTTAGTGAAAATCTAATACAAAAATACTGCTATTCTCTAAATGTATTACCATTTTCACACATCCTGAGAAACGATCCCGATGCATCACGTTTTATGCTCTTTTATGCAAATAAATATTTTCCAACAATATTTTCTCCTAACTTGGTCACTTTACACACTTGCATGATCAATGTACCCTCTAAATTGATTTGTTCTACAAACTTGACCCCTGTTATAATATAGTTGAGAACTCCTTGTACACTTAGTGCATCCCCAAATACTTGTGAGAAAAAATCTTGCAAGTAATTCAAGTGGGAATCAAATCCATGACATCCTGGTGTCTTAACCACTATTAGACCACTGATCTCTCGCTTAGTATCTTTATGATTTTTAATTGGGAAAATATTTTGATGAAACAGATTTGCTGTTCATTTTATGAATATCTGTTTAAATAATAGAGCACACCTTTTCTAAAAGCAGTGGCGTAGAAAAGTATTTTTCATTGGGGGGGGGGGATGATTGAAAATTCTTGGAATTGAAAATTACTGATGTCGTACACACCCTTCAGTGTGAAAATGTGGCCTGCTTTGCAAGCACATCTAACATCTAAGGAAAGAAGAGCTTAGATTGGTACCAGATAAATTAATTTTGTTATCAACATTAATACATTGTGCTAATTTTCATCTTTGTAAGCGCATAAGACATGGAAAATTATTTCTGTGACAGTCTTTTGAAGTGTGTAAAGCTCCATTTTATCCCATACATAGTCAAAATATTGGGGGGACGATACAAGTGATCATCCCCCTTGTCAAATATTGGGGGGATATATTCTCCCCCCCCCCCCAATCTACGCCTATGTCTAAAAGGATTTGTCTATACAGTATTAATGGAAATGTATGTGTTCTATTACAGGTTGCTTATATGATATTGACATGGTGTTTATCTCTGACAAACTTGATGGCAAAGATTTGACAAATTTCGGCATCTACCTTGGTATGGAGAAACATGAAATAAATGGATTTAAATCAGACTTTTCACCACCAATTGTAGACGCCTGTATTGAAATGTTGGTACAGTGGCGAGAAAGACAGGAAGCTAAAGTAAATCATCTCAAAACAATTAGTGAAGCACTGAACAAACTTCAACGAATAGATATAAAGGAAGAACTTGAGTCATACTACCAGAACAAATATGAAAAAATTGAAGCAAAGGTGTAAAGGAACATTTTAAAGATCACAGTGCAATAAAAAAATGACACCAGAATATAATTTTACCATACACCACAGTACCACATAAGGACACTTTTTAATTAAGAAATTATATTTTGCTCGCCTTTCGATCATCCAAACTGCCTATATTTGATGTTGTCATCCTGGACCGTAGATATTGAATACAAAATATACTGAAAACATTAATGTCAACTTTTTCTTAACGTGTATATAAAAACCAAAAGGTCCACTGATTTATCTCAGATAAGAAAGTATAATGCATACTTTATGTATTGAAATCCTGATGTTGACATAATATTGAAATATTGAATCCCAACACAATGACATGCATTTCAATACTTGGAGTATGTATTATACTTTCTTTTATGTATATAAAGTGTATGTACGTTTTCAATATTGATTATGCAATTTAAATGATATATCATTACTTATATTAATTTATATTAAAGTTCAGGTTAATATTATGCAATATATATGATACACCATGTAATGGCATCGTGAAGAAAACAATTCTTAATAAACAGTTTGTTTTACAAATTTACAAACATTTTACTACTCTAATTATGGAAAATTCAACAAGTATTACTTTTTAATTGATAACTAATTATTTAATAAAATACAAAAATTAAGCAATTCAAACTACTGTTTCCTCTAGCACTGAGTTTCAAGTTTCAATGCGTCTTTAGTTTCATAATGTTCAAAGCCCAATTCAGAAAGCGTCATACGTTGCAGCTTGACACGTTTAAATTAAAGTTGTCGCGTTGAGTACGGTCACATTGTAGAATATTAAACATTTACTATTATCATGACCTGAAGACTGCCCCCGACGACATATTACGTCGGAATGTGTCGTATGGCGCTGTCCTAGTTGGGCTTTAAATGAAATGTAACTTAGTAAATTATCTTATGCTGATCTCGCATACTCTTTTGCAGTATACTCTACACATCCAAAAATACTTTGGAAAAGAATGTTGCAAGTATATCGGGTAGAATTGAACCCACGACCTCCAGATAAATGTGCTTAATGGGTTCTGAAACAGTAGCAGCTCCAGGAATTGTCCGACAGGGAGGTTCCCATGTCCCCAACCGGAGCAAAGTGGGCGTGTCGGGAATTACTCAAAATCTTTCAAAAGTCACGGTCCAGGGCCCCCTGAAAAATTTTATAATTTAGGAATTTCAAATAAATGCTTATTTAGTCAATTTTCAAAGAGTGGGGGAGCTGGGGTAGATGCAGGGGTGCAGACGGTGCGATCGTGCCCTCTAAATGGTATTACGAAAAAATAATTGTTAAATTGGTAATAAGAGGTCGATATTCTCAAAATTTTCGCACCTCAGCCACAACCATGTTGAGGCTGAAGTAATGTGCATTCTTATGCACCCATGGGCGCAGATCATGAGCAGGGGACACGTCTCCCCACATATTGTTAGGAGGGGTGGTCCTCTCACTTTTCGTCCGCAATGGAATTTCACAAGTCAAGAAGATGCCTGTAAATTGTTGATTACTCCTAGGACCCAGAATGTTCTGACATAGCTTTCCACGACCCAAACCACGGTTACCATAGAAATGGCGTCCAAGACAAAATATACGGCCAATGTAATACGGTAGATCCCCTAGTTTTGGACACCCTTAAGGTGATCGACACTTTCAGTGAACAGATGGGGATTGGGGGAGGGGGAAAACTTCTATGAAGAGCACACCCTTATTAATCGGACACTTTCTGAATTTCTTGGTGTACCAAATGGTCAAATATATTCTGCCTCTATTTAGTGTGAACATCAATATAGGCCTACTGCATGTGTTCTTATATTTTTAAGTCACTCTATTCATTCCTCCAATAGTATGCATTCCTCCAATAGTAAGCTAAATATATTTTTTTATATAAAGGGGAGGGACACCCCTATTAAGGGGACACGTTTTCGACCCCTACGGTACTTATTAAACCAAATAATAACCTAAAGCATCATTTCAATCTTATTTTTCATGATATTTTGATTTCGATCTTTTTTTTTTTTTTTTCCTTTTTTCTCTGATTTGTGTTAATTCTGACATTGGTTGCTAGCTCCTTTGTCATGTTTTGATTTTATACCGTACTGCCCACTAATTTAACAGTTACTAAAGCATAAATTGCACTCAAGAGTAGACAAATTAGGAGCCGAGGTTGTGAATTAGTGACGGAACACTAAAATTCCTAATACGTTATTACCAAAACAAATATTTCTGTGTATTTTGAAACACAAACAGTACTAAGATTAGTAGACTCAGGCTGAGTAGACTGTTGGCGCATAGCGATGTTTTATCAAGCTCATCAACATCGGATAACAGCCAATTAGGGCCTAACACAAATTGAAGACAATAGTTAACATTTTACCAAATTAATTAATCTCATACATTTTATATAATTTTCTAGACAAGGATGCGATCTGACGACCCCAAAAAATTCACCCACGACCAAAACTTCGGTCGCGACCCATGGGTTGTCGTCCGGAGGCATAAATGACCCATTTTTTAAAGAAAGAGCGCTGTACAGCCAGATTTTTTAGCAACATACCAGTATATATCTCTGCCCGCAAACATCTGAATTACCTATACTACACGATTCGAGTGCGATTTCCTTTATTATTATTATTATTATTATTATTAGAGTTATGAGAAAAAGCGTGCTAACAATTAAGTATTATTTTCTATACATCAACAGCGATTAATTTGTGCGATGATGATGAATTATTTTACGATGTACTTAGGATCAATTTTATATTTAATACGAATATTTGAAAACATGATTACTGAAATGTTTACTAACTTAAGAAGTCTACCTGAAGCAACAATGTGGTTATGTGCACGTCAGCGGCATTGATTTGATAGAAAAAAAAGACTCAACTTGGATTGAGTTAATTTACTTAAATACTTCGTTCCAACCTTCGAAACAAAAACGCGAACATTTTTCAGGTATATGAAGGCCATCTGTTTATTTTTTTAAATATTTTATTAATTTTATTTCCACTGCATAATAAGTAAAATCACAATACACGCCTTAAACTTATTTATTTTTTGAATTATTTATTCTTAGCCAATGAAACTATATGCAAATCAAAATCCAAGATGGCAAGGAATGACCACAGTTATAAAAACAAACTTTGACTCTCAAACTGGTCAGAAATGATTAAAAATAACAATACAAAAATATAACTTTTTTAACTACTGTACAAAAGATTTGCAAGAGTAAAATTTGAATAAAAAAGGATCAATAAAAGACATCAAAAAACTAAAACAAAAACAAATAATGATTAGGCCAAGTAACAAAAATTACTTGTTTCCCGTCCCCGCGCGCATCGATTTTTGGGCCCGCGTCAATTTTTTTGTTATTTGTTATTTTTCGAAATTTCGTTTTTTTGGTGTTTTTTGTTAGTCTGAAAACGCGAAATGATGATATATGACGCATTTTCTAGACTCAAGCAACGCAAAAAAACGCTCAAGCACGAAAATTGTGTGGTTACTATAGGTTGATTTTGACGCGTTTCGAAGTTTACAAACGCAATTCCGCACGGAAGCAATCGTAACCGCGACTGAAAACGAGGCTATCTAGAGACAGCGTGACAGCAAAACAAACGATTTCTAAACATGTGAAAATGTTGACAATTAAAGCCCCATTCCCGGCAAAATTTCAATTTTTAAAAAAAATCTAATTTTTGTATAATGTTATAAAGATTTATAAATATAATACGGAATTGCTAGTTTAACTGAATTTAGACATTCCTAAGTATGAA